GAGTGAGGAGCACGTCAAGGCGAAGATAGTCCAAGAGTTTAGGGCGTCTCCTTGGAGCGTGCGCCTTGTATACAAGACGGACGAGCATAAGCAGACGAACTACTTGGAGATCAAGAAGTTGACGCCCGCGCTGTCACCAGAGGGCGTCGTCGCCTCTTTCCGTTTGCTCCCGGCTCCGCAGACAGCCAGTGACATTGGATGCCCTTTCGCAAAGTGTTCCGAGGTCAAGTTCGACAAAGATCTTGGAGCCCTCACAGTCCTGCATTATGCCGTCGCCGCTGTTCGGTTGCTCGTGCGCGTGCAGGCGCCGACGGCCGAAGAGATCGTCGCCGAGCCGGACTCTGCCAACGTAGGTTTCCGCGTAAGCCGCCGCGTGAAGTGCTGCATCGGCACAGAGGCTGACGGAGCCATCTACCATATCAAAATCGCGGGGAAGGCTCTGAACGTCCAATGGCTCACGACGGCCCCCGGGGACAAATGTTTCTTGATCACAGCGAAGGGCCGTGGGGAGGACAATGCATTCAACGTGCTGGCTTACGAGGATGTCACCCCAATTGGGCTTCCCCAGTACATCCTGTTGATGAATCTCCACATGGCTCACCGCGTGTCCAACGTGATGGTCACCCACGAGAAATCCGACACGCCTACCAAACGGCTGGCTTCGCTGGGGGATGCGGTGCCAACGGCCGACACGCCGCAGCCCTTCGATAAGAAGCGCAAGCTTGATGCTACGCCGAGCTGATTGCAAGCACTGTCTGATTACTGCTGGATCTCATGGCAGTGTTTTTATGTCCCGCGACAGCGCGGGCCGCCGAAGCCCTACGCCAAGTGCTGACGGCAACTGTTCTAATCGCTTTGCGCGAGCAGCCGGCAAGCATGTCTCCTGGCGCCCAAATCGGCTAGATGCCAAGTGCGGACGGTCGCCTTTGTGCGGGTTCGCCGCCGAAGCCCGATGCCAAGTGCTGACGGCATCTTTTCTAATCGCTTGGCGCGAGCAGCCAGCAAGCGCGTCTCCTCGCGCTCAGATCGGCCAGATGCCAAGTGCGGATGGTCGCTTTTGTGCTGGTTCGGCCCGATGCCAAGTGCAGACGGTCGTCTTTGCGTTAGCTTTCGTAGCACCCGCATTGGCTGTGTGCCGATGCGGAACATGGGCGGCTTCTTTTTCCAGGCCGCCTGGCACGAGCACCCGGCATGCGCGCCGCCCTTTCATTCCCTCCCCCCCCACCCCCCCCGCGTGTCCCCCAGCTCGATCCGATGCCAAGTGCGGACGGTCGCCCTCTTGCAGCATGCGTAGCAGTCATCACTTGCTTGAGAGTTACCAGCTCCGCCAGCGGGACCTCGCACTGAGCAGATCTCTGAATTCCCCACTCCCTCGCCGTATGAAAAATGATTTTTCAAAATGCAGGATCTGATGCAACGATGGTGTGTCTATCTTGATCCCTCATCCTCAGAAATTCATTCCAGCTAATCAGCCCACGAGTGTGTTGCTGCGGCTGTCAGGTTCAAGAGAGCTCTCCTGATTTGCTGTCCATCATAAGTTACTTCGGCGCAGCAGCAAACGCTTATGGCTCGCGTCGGGGCGACGGCCGCAACCATCGTTCTGAGCGAATTGGTGCTACCGCAGGCCCGCGAGTTGCACATGCTTGACTTGAAGGATGACTGGCGCACGCATGGGCTCTGCAGATCGCTGCGTCTCGCCAGAGATCGCTTTCGTAGCCAGTATACCAGGTATTGTGCAGAGGTCCGCTCTAAGAATTTGTCTCAGCTGCCATGGATGCTTACGTGCGATGATAAACTGATGTCTTTCCCGCTCAGCATGGAAATGTACCGCGCAGATTGGCTCGTGCGCTCCTTCCTGCACTACGTCCTTCGCGGGCAGCGCCTGGGTGTCTTAGCTGGCAGCGCGGGTGCCGCCATATTGCAGAACAAGCTCGGGGTGTCCAGAAATTGGAGCCCGAATGATATCGATTTCTTCGTCACCGAGGGGCAGAATGTGCAGCGCATCATCGACTCCTACGTGGACGGGGTGCTGAAGCCGCTCGGGTGCAAGCGCTGGGACCAGACGACCCAGCTCCTCCACTATGATGAATCCAACACTGACAACGAGGGCGACCATGTGAGATCCAACACCGACGCCGCCGATGTGCCAACCGGCACGGGCGAAGCATATGAAGAGCTTCTGAATCTGGTCCGGGGACCTTCTTCCGTCGGGACCAACGACAGCTACGACGTGTTGCAGGCAGTCTCGGTTCAACCATTGCTGCCCGAAGTCCCACACCCGAGCTCGGCGACTTGATTCGCCCCCTTAACGTCGCGCACATCCAGGACCCTCTCCATCTGCACGATCTGGATCTAGCCAGTCGCGTGCGGGATGGGTTCGATCTGGTGCCTTGCGCGGTCAGCGTGGAGATGGAGGAGGACTTTTCCTTCCGCTGTGTGTGTGACGTCCGCACTCTTGCTGCTGCGCGCCTGTCGTTGCTTTTCTTTAATGTCGACCACGTTCGCCGCCGCACCCGCAGCGACGTACCGAGGTTGCTTGACCGTGTCCGGAAGTATGTGCGCCGCGGCTTCACATTCGCCCGCTCGTCCTCTGCGATTCTGAGCTCCTTCACGCCGAACGATGCACTCGCTAGAGGTGCGATAGTGCACTACTAGGGTGGAGTGAGCTTGGATGTACCAGCCTGGTACCAAGCGCGGGCGGCGCATTGTTTTGCAACCCAGGTTCCGTGCCGCCCCGCACACAGACCGGCCGCTTTGGCAGCGACTGCAAGATCGCCCACTTGCACGGAGAATTCAGACACCTGCCCGATGCCAAGTGCGGACGGCTTTCTTTCAGCGCGGCGCATTGTTTTGCAACCCAGGTTCCGCGCCGCCCCGCGCACAGACCGGCCGCTTTGGCAGCTACTGCAAGATCGCCTACTTGCACGGAGAATTCAGACACCTGCCCGATGCCAAGTGCGGACGGCTTTCTTTCAGCGCTTCTCGCACCAGCAGCTACTGACATGACAGTGGTCACCGCCTGTCTGTCCATTGTCCCATCTCTCCTCCTTCTCCTTTTCCTCCTCTCTCCTCTCCTCCTTATTGCGTTCTTCCTTCCGGCCATTGCTGGAGGAGGAGGAGGAAGATGGGGGGCAGCAGCACCAGCAATATCATCAGGAACCCTTATCGGTTGAGCAGGGGCTCAGCCTGGGCCACTCCTTTAAACCTTCGACGTCGCGATCTACTTCGCCTCAGACTTTTCTCATACTCGAACTCATTCAGACTCACTCTCAGGCAGACTCACTCATACACATACTCACTCACGCGGAGGGTCACCCACACACAGATTCACTCACACTCATACTCAGATTCCCCTCACTCCGCTTCCCTGATAGTCACACTCCCACAACACGAGCTCTGCCAAGAGCAAGAGCAGTCATCAGGTTCCATGGGCAGAATACCCATCGACCGCGTTGACTATCATTGTGTTATCGTCCGATCAGCCTAATTATCCCTACCATCTACCTTTGTTGTATGATGCACGGTTGTGGGAGCACGAAGACGAGGCAATGCAGGTGACGGAATGACAGAGAAATGACGGACAAATGGTTATCATGGAATCGCCGTCGTCATCGTCATCGCGTTCGCCCTCGTCATCGTTATCGTCATCGTCGTCGTCGTCAGCGCCATCCGTGGCCATGTTGGCTCAAGAGCAGGTCTAGTGGATTTGTATTGGCATCAGATTTGAGACGGGCTTGAAACCAAAGGCATGCAGCAGCCCTGCGAATTGCTCCTGGCCGCGCGCGGGGGCGCCGACGCGCGGGTGGTGGCTGGCTTGTGTTTCTCGCGAATCCTTCTGAGTTGGTGGAGCACGCGGAGGAGGAGCGACGCTTGGCTCACGTGGCGGCTACTCGTGCGCAGAGGCGATTGGTGCTTACTTATGTGCGCGGCTTTTCTACTGAGCTGGGGGATGCCGCGGTCAAGTCCAGCTTTACGTTGCCAGAGCCGGTACTCCCAGAGGGATCTCCCGACGCCGCGGTCTGGCTGCGCGTCATGCCTCGGGCCGATGATGAGCCAGATTGGCGGCATGACTACGAGCTTGTGCGGGCAGCTGCTCGCGGGTGAGTCTGCCACAGTGACGCAGCCTGGCCGATGCCAAGTGCTGGCACCATCTTTTCTGATCGCTGGGCGCGAGCTGCCAGCAAGCGCGCCGTCCTGCGCTCAGATCGGCCAGATGCCAAATGCGGATGGTCGCCTTTGTGGTAGTTCGGCTTGATGCCAAGAGCGGACGGTGAAGCCCACGGCGCAGAGTGCAGGCGGGGAAAAAGTCACGATGGTGATGCTGACGCACACACACCCACACTCAGACACACTCACTCAGACTTTAACTCACAAACCATCAGACTCACCCAGACTCACGTACACACACCGACTCACTCAGTCCCGTATACTTGGATTTCGTTTCCCCTCTTCTACTCCGGAGCGTGGAGAGAGACGGATGACTAGCATGGTGTAGCTGGTGTGGTATTTCCCTCGTGTGGCATTTCATGCACAGAGTAGCAAGTACTCGGATATGGGCACTCGATGCACAGCATACCAGTGCATGGCATTGTACACGCTGGATTGACACGTCGCAGAACACATGCCGGACACTGGATGGCATGGCGAAACTTGCGTGGCACAGCAATGGATTCTTCTTCTTCTTCATCATCATCAGCATCATCATCATCAATTCGTGTCAGGATGATGACGTTGATGATGATGACGATGAGGTTGATGGTCAGGGTCGTGGCCTTGGTGTGGATGACGATAATGATGATGATGGTGATGGCGGTGATGGCGAATATGGCGACGGTGGTGATGATGATGATGATGACGATGATCCCTGAGGATGTCTTAGGCGGGCCCATCACCATCCTCACTGCCTCATCATCAACATAATGACGGTGATCCGTTCCCATCTTTGGCCCGAGTGCTCCTTCGGCTTCCCCGCGCGAACCTTACCTCCGCAACCCGTGCCTATGTCGCAAGGCCCACAAGGGTCACATTGCTTCGCCACCGAAGACGATGTGGCGAAGTGGCTGGGCGAGAGCGGCCGCAGGTGGAGGCAAAAGGTGCATTGCCTAGACAAGGAAGCCCTGAGACGCATGGCCGTGGTTCTAGGAGTTGGGCAGAAGCAACCACCGCAGAAGGAAAAGCTCGCTGAGACGGTGTGCGAGAAAGCGGCGAGCCTGCTGGTGACGGCCAAGAGGAGAAGCTTGCCGACAGCGGGCCAGAGCACCCAGTCGCCAGTGAAGAAGGCTCGCAGCAGCGCTTCGGCATCTTCGGCGACTGCGGTTGCAACGCCAGAGCCAGCCGTGAAGAAGTCACGATGGACGCCAGGCTGCCTGGGAAGCCCGATGCCAAGTGCTGACGGCCCTGCCGCCACGGAAGGACCTGGGACGCCGCGATCCATTCGCGCTGCCGAGGCTCTGGCCATGTCCACGCGGAAGTCTGAGTTCGGATCTCCGCCAGGCCCTCAAGCCACGCCCCCGGCCCACAGAGATGTCCCCTCTGCCTGTGACATTTGGATGACAGATCATTTGAGCGCACTGCTCGGCGCCAAGGGCGTCCGGCCAAACATCAAGGCGTTGGTGCTCGAATTGCAAGAGCTACAAGGGAGCAGTCCCAGTGCTGTCTGGCCAATCCAAAGGAGCAACAAAGGATTGTACCTGAGGCTGTACCGCTTGCGGACCGACTACAAGAAGGCACTGGCCGGGGAGATCCAGAACCCTTCTACCATCGAGGACTTGCGCCTCCTCTCTCGCATCGTGGGCGGCGGCGGCCCGCGCGACCAGGCGCTCGGGGACGGCGCGCTGGGGGCAATCGAGCATGTCCGTGGTTGCTGGCGGTGGGCCTTCAAGGACGTCGGCTCTGATGTCGTCGGCGCGTGGCACGACGCGGAAGCTGCGGCGGCCGTGGACCTCCAGACGGTACAGTTGCTGCTTTTCCCGCCCAGTCTGCCGGCCGAGGTCTGGTTCGTACCGACCCAGCGCACTGCCCATCTGCAGGGCGTCAAGATCGAAGCTCTGAAGCGGCGGGCGCACGCCTTTTCTGCCATCGGGCAGCAGGAACCGCTGCTGCCCACGCGTCTCGCCCGCCCGCACGACGCCCGCACCCTGTCCAACGACTTCCCGGGCTTCCGCAACCTGGGCGACACGTGCTACTTGAACGCAGTGCTGCAGTGCATCTTCCATTGCGAGCCGTTGGCCTCCTCCCTGTTCGCGCCCGCACAGCGCCCGGGCGTTCTGGAGACCGCGCTCCGGGACCTCTTCGAGGAGTACGTTGCGTCGGGCGACTCCACGGCAGACGTCATTGCACCTGTGCGAGTTCTACAGAAAGTGCAACAGCACGCTGGGTTCGTGCCCGGCCGTCAGCAGGACGCCGCGGAGTGCTTGCGACAGCTCTTGCTGTGCACGGGCCTGCACCGGCGCTTCTGCGACAGTCAGGCACCGGTCGCCGACGGAGGCGTCGTCATGTCGTTCGCGCCAGAGGTGGCCCAGATCAGCTCGGCCGCTGGGGCCATAGACGCAAAGGCCCTGCTGCTCACGGCCATGGCGGACGAGGGGAAGCTCGGGATAGGCGCGCAGGTGTTGGTCCTACGCATGGAGACCACGTACGAGCTGGGGGGCGAGGACTTCTGGGTGGACGCCCACGTCACGTGGCCGGACCACTCCCTGACGGTGACGGTGGCGAACGAGGCGGAGCCGCAGGTGGATTACGACGTGCAGGCTTACCTCGTGCATATCCCCTTTGATACAGACGTCTCCCGAGGCATGCGCTCGGGCCACTATGTCGCGTACTTCAAGCACGGCAGCACGTGGTACGAAGCCGACGACCAGAAGGTCACGATGCTCACAGAGCCGCCCACGAAATTCCCGTACGTCGTGCTCCTGGCGCGCTGCGACCGAGGCCGACCGGCCCACGCGGCGGCGCTGCGGAGGCGAGTGCAGGCCGTGCAGAACGCCCGGGGCCAGGCTCCAGGGATGCCACGGGTGGTGCCGCTGGCGGGGAACACGCAAGGTGCGACGCCAAGTGCTGACCAACCGCCGCCGCGTGTGCCCAGTGGTCTAGGTGGCGGAGCCGGAGGAGCGCCTGGCACAGCTGCCCAAGCCGACGCGCGGAGTCGGTCCGGGAGAGCACAGCAGCGAGACCGTGCAGGGCAAGCACAGGACCGGTCAGGGCAAGCGCAGGACCGGGCTGGGCGAGCACAGGACCGGGCTGGGCGAGCACAGGGCCGGGCTGGGCGCGCACAGGGCCGGGCTGGGCGCGCGCAGCTGCGAGACCCGGAACTCCACGCGCGCGTCGACCGCGCGTGGGGAAACGGCGCCAACTCTGACAACAGAGACCATTCCAGGAGCGACGCACACAGCAACAAAGACCACCCCTACAAGCGCTTCTGCGAGAACTACGGCTTGTATCGGAAGTGCCCGGAGGTCACGGTCCGCCAGTGGGAGCCGCGAGCCGAGCCGTCTGGTCCTCTGCCATGCTTGCTCTGCCCCCCTGGCACAGACTTCCATCGGCGGGAGGATTGGCTGCGGCACCTCGTCGAGGAGCACGGTGGTAGGCAGCGGTGCCGCAACGCCTGGCTGGCCCACATGCAGCTGGCTCCGCATGTCGTCACCGGTCAGGAGTGGCGCGCTATTGTGGGAAACTTCGCTGAGTTCTTCGGTCGATCTGCGACAGACTGGGAGAGCTTCACACCGGAGATGGTGGCGGCGCTGTTCAGTGAGGATGGGCTACGTCCCGAGGAGCGTTGGCTTCCTCGCCAGCTCGCAGCCTGCGTCTTCTGCGCCCGATCCCATTGGTTGGAGGAGCTCCACAACGTTTACATCGCGGGGGAGCAGTGCTTCATGGCGAAACCGAACACCGTCTGGAAGATGCTGGAGGTCAGCCGCTACAGAGAGAGGTGGCCTTTGATAGCCGCCACCGGTGAGTTGGAGGCTTCGTCCGTCACCGTCGTCGCGCCTGACCCGAAGAAGAAGGAGGGCCACGACGAGTACCGAGTTCTGCTGCACAAGCGCCGTGTGACGGAGGAGCAGGCGGCCGGGCGGTCTGCCGTGCACGTCTGCGCAGACTGCAAGGAAGCCTTTGAAGGCCCTGGCCCTTGGCTCTGCAAGTACGCCCTCGCGAATGACCTCTGGCTCGGCCGTTGGTGCCCTCTCTTCCGCAAGGCGAACTTGTCCCACCAGATGCTCCTGGCTCTGGCGCGCGTTGTAACCACGAAGATAGTCTTGCGGCCGGATGGAAGCAAGAACAAGTCCTCGGACTGCACGGGGAACTGGGATTTCCTGTTCCACCAGTCTGGCATCATCGGCACGGCGATCCTGTTCCAGAACGCGGACTGCGGCCCCGCACTGCAACAGTTCCCGCCCCCGCATATCCACGACTCCTTCGCCGTCAGTTTTGTCGCCGCCACCACTGCCGGCGATCCCCAGGCGCAGGCGAAAGAGTTTGTGGCCACGAAGATTGCCAAGCTCAAGGTCTCCCGCCCAGAGTTCGACGCGCAGGCAGCTGCCCTCACGAAGTCCAACGTGGTCTACGATAAGACGACCTACGACAGGGACCTCGTGGCCAAGTGGGTCCCTGATCCAGCCGTGGCCGCCGTCCCGCCCGTCATTGCGGATGCCGTCGTAGCGGTGCCGCTGGAGGAATCGCCTGGGCAGGTCGTTGCGGAGGGCCCCGGCGACGCCACGGCCGCGGGCGAAGAGGACCGCATGGACGCCGACATTGCCGCAGCCAGGGAAGCGCGCTACATCGCCGCGTTCGAGCCAGAAACCCAGGACCTGAATACGAAACACAGCGGGGCCATGGAGGTCACGGCGCTGATGCAGCAGCTCGAGGAGCTCGATCACGCCGCGCAGCGCTCGGTGGCTTTGGAAATAGAATCCGCAGCGGAGGCTCGCTTGGGTGATGGCGCTTGCTTAGTGGACCACGCAGGCCGCGAGCGCATTTTGGAGCTGTGCGAGAAGATCCACAAGAAATGCGCCAAAACTCTCCGCGACGGAGAGGCAAGAGCGACTCCAGCTGGAACTCCAGAAGACCGCGACTGGCCAACAGGAGTGGCAGAAGGCGCCGCCAGACGCCCAGGCCGCCGCAAGCAGCTCCGGCACTGTTCCGCACCTGGTGCAACCTCGTGGAGCCGCGCCGCTATCCTATTGGGACTGGCGCATCTGGACCATGGCTCGGCCCCATCTGTGGCGTTTCGGTGACGCCGCAAACCTGTACCCTGACCGGGAGACGCTGCTGACGCTCAACGAGTGGATGTGCTGCATGCTTCTCCGCGAAGAGATGGAGTACGACATGCCCACTGACACGGAACCCTTTCGTGCACGGGGTGAAGCGTCGGGGCCGGAACTCAATCGGTTTGCCAGAGACTGGATCACGTTGCATATCTTCTCGTCGATGAGAATCCTCGCCTCGCAGCAGGAGTCGACGCACGCCTTCTTGAAGAACGGGGGCATCGCGTGGGCCCGCAAAGTGGCAGGCTTGAAAAAAGAGCACTTGGCCGAGGCAGCAAGGACTGGCAGGGAAGGGGACGACATCCGAGCGCTTGCTCAAAATGCTTCCACGCCGCAGCTAGTCCGCGACGCACTGAACATCATGCAGATGGCCACGGCGCACGTCCTCGGCACCGACGGGCATCGGCGGCTCTGCCGTCACGAGGGCAACGCCTACACTACCCTCTTCGGCCCGCCGCTGGAGTTCTGCGCGCCAAACCTCGCGGATGGCAAGCAGCCGTGTCTCCTAGTCGTGCAGAACGAGAGGTTCTACCTCGACGGCACGCGGGACCATGAAGGAGTGCTGCCTAAGTACCGGGACATGCTGCTGCGGTTGGCCAAGGACCCCGTCGGCCAGACGCGCGTGTTCCACCTGATGATGCGCCTCTTCTTCCAGCACGTGTTGGGCGTGCGCCCAGAGTGCATCGAGAGCCGCCGCGGCACCCGGCGTTCGGACCCGCGCGAGTGGTGCACCGACGGCATGGCGGCGTCGGCGTGCGCCCCTGGCATCTTTGGGCCCGTGGCCGCTTTCCGAGGCGAGATCGAAGCTCAGGGCAGGGGGTCCCTCCACCCGCACATCCTCGTCTGGCTCGCCCTGCTCTCCGTGGGCGAAGTGGTCGACATTCTTCGTCGAGACTCGGAGCAGTTCCAGCGCAACCTGTACCGCTGGATGAAAGCCACGGTCGCAGCCGCGGAGTCCATTAGCCAGAGCTCCGTGCGTTCGCTACCACGGCGCTTCGGTGACCTCGGCACGGAGGTTACGCCGCTCGGGTTCAGCGCCACGGAGAGGAGATTGAGTCGGTACGATGGCGAGTCTGAGCTCAGCCTCCTGGAAGCCGTCCCTGAAGGTGACCGCAGTGCCGCCCAGACCAAGGCCTTGCAGGAGCTAGACCCGGAGATGTGGTGCCGCCCATGCCTCCCTGTGCGCGCGCCCAACGGCGAGCTCCTGGCGTCGACGGACGCCGGCGACGTCGTCCGGGTGTCTATCTACACGAAGCGTGTTTCGGAGTTCGCCGTCGGACAATGCCCAGAGTACAGGCGCCGCGGCGCCCTCAAGCGCACGGACCCAGCGCCTCCCGACCCCCAGTCTCGACGGAGCGGTGCAGGGCTGTCCGCGGCAGCAGCCGCCGAGGACGTCGGTGCTTCTCAGTGGGAGCACAAGTTCTTCAAGGACGTGAGATCCCTGGCCCAAGAGGTCTTCGTCCACATCTGCGGCGAGTCCTGCCACAAATACTCTGGCAAGAAGAAGGTCCAGCAGATCTGCCGGCACGGCTTCTACCACATCGTAAACCTGGGCACGTGGGATCAGCGGAAAGAAGGGATCTCCTTCCGGCGTCGTGGCAAAGCCCTCCGGAACCAGATGTTCGTTACCAAGTGCACCCAGCACGGGATGCAGGGCAGGCTGCTTATGTTCCAGGAGCACCCCTTCGAGGTGCCGACGAACTACGCCGGGGCTGCCTCGGTGCGCTGCAACCTCGACGTCCAAGATCTACGTCGAGTGCTTCCCGAGTCCCTCTGGAACCCGGAAGGAGAGGCGTGCCCCGCCCTGCCAGTCGACGAGGCTCGTGCCAAGGAGTTCGGCTACATGGGCGCGTACGAGTGGGACGGCGAGGGCTTCGCAGAGAGGGCGCGCGATGCCAGCGCTTGCGGTCCCACGCAGTGGGCCAATGACCAGACGCGCGAGGAGTGGCACCAGGCTTTCCTCACGGCGCTCGCACCAGACGACGCGGCCCAAGAGGTGAAGCCCTTCCAGTGCCAGACGTGCGGCGCCCCGCATCATGCGAATCCAAGCGAGGATGACCACGCTTGCGCTTGCATGGAGTGCGAGTGCATGCGTGCGGCCACGGCTGCCTTTGCCGACGCCATCAACACCGGCTTCTACGTGAACAGCTACACGACGAAGCAGTGCCCTACCATGGAGGGGGTGCTCGAGAATCTGCGGCAGGGCTTGGAGCGCTTGGAGGAGCAGAGGGCCAGAGAGCAGGAGGAACTCGAGAGGGGGCGCGCCAGGGACGCCGAGCTGGTCGGCAAAGAAGCGGCCATGAAAGTGCACAAGGGCAAGTCGACTTTTGCAGAGACGATGCGGACGCTGAACAGGCTGAACTCCTCGTACCGCCGCTGCTACTGGAAGAGCGGAGGCGAAATGATTTTCCCGATCCTTTACGGCCACATGACCTTCGCCAGCCACCGGCGCTGGACCGTCTACGTGAAGAAGGCCGTGTTCCAGGCGGCGCAGGCATGGAGGCGACTGTACGGCAATTCTGTTCGACTCGCTGCGATCAAAGCTGGCGGTGGGGAGATCATCCAACACCTCCGTCAAGGCAGACGCCAGGGAAGCAAAAGCACCCCCCACCCAACCGCCACCATTGTTTCATGGTTTGTGTCCCAGCAGTATTCGTTTTCCCCGGAAGCACGCCCTTCGCGCGACGGCTTCTGAAACGGCGGTGCGTTCTGGGCAGGTCCTCGGGGGTTGTCTTTGCTGTCCTTCTGGCCAGACATGGACCCGTACCCGCTGCGGGGCTGGCGCTGGGACAACGTTCACGGACAGAGGCTGCTGGTCGGGCCGCAGGGGCAAACGTGCGAGACAACCGTGGAGGCCTTCGATATGGAAATGTCCACGCCGACCGATGGAACCAGCAAGGCGCTCCGCCAGCAACTCACCATGATCCAGAAGTTCCTCAATGAGTGCTGCAAGGAACAAGTCGAGCCCGACCCGAACGACGGCGGCGCCCGGCTGGACGGCGACGGCCGCAACGAATCCAAGGCGGACCGCCAGACAGAGACTACTGGACCCCTGGACGATTGGCTGTGGCGCGGCGACCACCCCGTCCTCAAGGACATGCACTGGTACGTGTACTCCATGTGGGTGTACCGTGTCGAGGTGCCGCCGCTCAGGCGGAAGGAGGACGGCGATCCCGTGGTGCCAAGGCCCCGTTTCATCGATATCGATTTCAGTCCCGACTACAAGCTTCACAAGACGCACAGGCAGCGCATCGCCACGGAGTTCCGGGTCCCCCTCTTCGAAGGCTTCACGATGCCACCCAGCGCCCGGGACAGCGAAACGGCTTCCATGTACAAGTCCCTGCTCCTGCGCGCGCTCTCCATCAAGCAGACCGAAGAGACCGAGGCCATGGACCACACTTGGCAGGAGCGGTTCGCCCAGACCTTCGACCCACTGTGCTTGGTCGAGGGCGAAGCATTGGACGGCAATCAGGCTGCGGCGGAAGTGATGCCCGCATCCCACTGCCATTCGGTTTTATTTTTTCTGGAAATCAGCGGCCACCAGCGGCCTGAAGGATTCCGGTCAGGCACTTGCAAGCGCGAGCTTTCGCACGATGTCGCACTCCAAGGAGCAGCGTTACTGTCGCGCACAGGTGTTCGAAATGGCATTGGGATGTTGGGGGTTACTTCTTCCTGACCCCAGGCTTTCACGCGCGCCTGGCTGGCGCACATGGACAGGCAGAACGCCTGGGCCGTGGAGGCTGCGAGGCGTTTCCTTGACCGCCACGAGTACATGAGCCTCTGGGAGACCCAGGAGGTCCACGACGAGCCCAATGACATGTGGCAGACGGATGACAGACCCCCAGGCCAAGTGCGGACGGTCCGTGGCGCCGGAGGAGGTCCCAGACCCGGACGCGGGGAAGCCCCGCGCCACCATGCGCCAGTACGCGGCCCTGATTGCCCAGAAGGTCCACTCGAATCTGGAAGGCCTAGCGCGGGCGCGCCTCGAGAAGCGCCCGCGGCCCTACCAGACGGACGCAGAAATCCACCAGTCCTACCTCAAAGCTACGTCAGGAGGGTCGCTCGGGCCGGGGGACGAGCCTGAGGGCGAACCCGAAGTTGGCCAAGCGCCGCGGATGATCACAGAGGTCTTCCCGCCACTGTGGGGCTCCTTCGACGCAGAGGAAATGCGTGCCATCCTGGATTTCGCACACAAGCCGCGCCCATCTCAGTTCCTCAAGGACTTGCTCGCCCTCCCATTCATGGCAGCGCCAGGTGAAGAGGATGATGAGACGGACGAGAGGACGCGGCGGCGCAGAGCGGAGGGCGCTGTCTGGCGGAGCAAGTACCGTGGCCTCGCAGACGCGCCGCTGCAGGAGAAGCTCGCCTTGAAGAGGGCTCAAGAGGAAGCGCTGGAGGTAAACGCGGAGGAGGACCACAGTGAGGAAGTGAGGCTGCCCACGCACCGGCTCCGTGGCAAGCAGCCACCAGTAGCCTCATTCGCCAAAGACAAAATCTTCGAGAAACTCAGCGCGTTCATCCGGCATCTCATGGCAGAGCTGCCGGCCGATAAGCGGTTGACTCGACGCCAGACACTCTTCATGGTGGAGTTCGCCGAGGCCTGCGACGAGGCGTGGGAGGACGAGGACAAGCCGCCCGAGACGCGAAGGGTCCACCACATGCTCCTGCTCGGCGCAGGGGGCAGCGGCAAGACACACGTGGTGCAGCACTTGGTCTTCAAGGCGGTGGAATACATCTGGCCAAACGAGACGCCCGAGTCCCCCTCGATGCTGGTGGTGGCCTCCTCCAACGCGCAGGCGAAGAACATCTCCACCGCACACTGGAAAGCGCGGACTCTGCACAACGCCGCGGGCATGCGCGTTCAGGAGATGACCAACCCGAAGATGCGGCCGGGCGACAAAGCGAAGTCTCTCGAGGAGCGGTGGAAGAACGTCAGGGTCCTTGTCATCGAGGAGGTGAGCATGGTGTCCGCCGCCAACTACAACATGCTCGACTTTCGAGCCATGCACGGGCGCACGAAGAGCCACGCGGTGACGGAGGGCACCTACAAACGCCCCGAGTGCACTTTCGGCCGGTGCCCCATCGTCATCCACTTAGGCGACTTTCTGCAGCTGGCGCCGACCGCGCAGCTCAGCCTGGTGACGGACACCAACGCCAGGAAAGAGGACGGGTCCTACGTGCTCGCGGAGCCGCCTTCCCTGGATATCCAGAACGCCATCCGGGTCTTCAAGAGGATCTCGGAACCGAGCCCCCCTGCAAAACGAGAGCTCCTCAAGACCTGCGTCATCGAGCTCCAGGGAACGAAGCGCTTCGTCCCGGGCGATCCGCTCATCAAGTTCTTGGACTGCATGCGCAGAGGCGCTCGGATCCCTGGCCCCGTGTGGCAGGCGTTCGAGGACAGGTTCGCCACGGACAGCCGCCCCGGGGCGGAGCCTGCCAGGGACCCCCGCCACGCGCAGCGGGAGTTCCTGGACGGCTACGGCCTCGCCATGTACTGGGAGCCCCTGGCGCGATGGATCTCCAAGCGCGCGCGGCGAGACGCCCGCGTGCTCGAGGTGCCCCTGGTTTTCTTGCAAGCTGCGGACGAGTGCCAGACCATCCAGGACAAAGAGACGTATTCCAGGATGCTGAATGTGGCTAACATCTACAAGACAGGCCAGATCCACGGCGTGCTGCCTGCCCACGTGGGGATGCGGGTTCGCTTCACTGGCAAGTTCAACGGAGCGTACGGCCTCGTTCAGGAGCAGCGGGCCACGATCGTGGACTTCGTCTTCCATGAAGACGACGAGAGGCGCTACCGCCAGACTCGCCCGGGGGAGTTCTTCAGGCGCCGCGGAAGACGCCAACGGGCATCTGGTTGCAAGTGGACGACTTCATGCAGTCGCCGACGTGGGACAGCATCATGGGCCACGTCGGCGACGATGAGAAGCTTGCGCGCGGCCTGTTCTGCATGCCACTCATGGAGCAGACCTTCACGTGGGAGGCGTCCTCCGTGGCGCACACGGTGACCCGCTTCGGCTTCATGCTGACCCACGCCTGTTACCTGACGACGACGGCTTCGCAGGGGCAGACGCTTCGCGCGGCGGTGACCATCGACTGCGGGCGACAGGAGCCGCAGGGGCGGCGCGGCACTGACGACGATGCCTGGTGGCTCAACCTCTACGTCATGCTCTCCCGCGCCACCCGGATGGCCGACATGCTGCTGGCGCGGCCTCCCCCTCGCGAGCTCCTGGAACGGGGCCCGCCCGCGGCGGTGCGAGCAGCTCTGAGCCGCTTCGAGCACAAGGAGAAGGCGACGGTCGCAGCAGCAGTTTCACTTGCCAGGGGCTTCGGCATAGCGCTACCACCACAGTAGCGGCCCGCGTCTGCCGTGGCCCGATGCCAAGTGCGGACGGTCTTCCTGGAGCTTGCTCGGAACAGTATCCCCGAATCTTATTCTGTATGTGACGCCTCCTTCTCATACTCACTCGCTCATACACAGACTCACCTGTACTCAGACTCATACTCAGACCTTCGGCATAGCGCTGCCACCAGATCAGCGCTCAGTACGCAGGGGCCAGAGCAGCGGCCAGGGCGCAACCTGACCCGATGCCAAGTGCGGACGGTCGCTTCTAGTGCCTGATGCTAAGTGTGGACGATCGCTGCGTCCGCCAGCTGTCAGTAGAGCAGCTCGCCTTTTGTATTCCAGCGTCACTATTGCACTTTCCTTAGAGTGCCTCGAACGACCGACCCGGAGCCGAGTGTGCCCGGTCTGGTCAGAGCTCGCATGGCACCAGCCAACAACTCAGCTCCACTCACACTCGGACTCGCTCATACACAGCCTCATTCATACACAGACTCACTGGCACTCAGGCTCGCTCAGACTCACATCCCGCCTCAGCCAATGCGGACGATCGCAGCGTCCGCCAGCTGTCAGTAGAGCAGCCCGCTTTTTTTTTCCGTGCAATTATTGAATTTTCCTCAGAGTGTCTCGAACTACCGACCCGAAGCCAAGTATGGACGGTCTGGTCAGAGTTCGCATAGCACCAGCCGAAAAAATGTGTTGCCCCATCGGTATCGCTCTCGTACGTCCTCCCTCGCCTTGTCTCCTCCTTTTTCCCCCTTCGTCCTCTGCTCCCCCGCGCCCTCCGCCTTCCTTGCTTGTCCCTTGATCCGCATGTCCCCTGTACTCCTATCCTTTCAGAGCCCCCCCCCCCCCTCCAAAGACACACGCGCTTCCGCCCCACTTCGCTCTCCTCCTATTCGGATTTATCCACACTCATTCTCAATCCCACTCAGACTCACTCGCACCCGGACTCGCTCATACACAGACTCGCTGGAACTCAGAGCCTCTCAGACTCACATCCCGCCTCACTCACACTCAGTCACATTTAAATCCAGATGCTTCCTCACCGAGTCCCACCACCAAGGCAGCGCCAGCAAGGAGATGCACATATGGGGATCCCCACGCAGTCAATAATTCGAAAAAGAACCAACACCAAATCGTAAGACGTCCAGCACGCCAGGCCCCCTTGTGATGAGTCAACAGGGGGCGGCGGATAACGGAAAGAGCGAGGTACGAGCGATGACGTTTCGTTTTGGGCGAAGCCCCTTAAGGGGGGGGTCCAGGGGGGGCGTACGGCGAGCAGATGGGTGACGGAAAGAGCGAGGTACGAGCGAGTGACGTTGAGCAGGGGCGAAGCCCTTCTAGGGAGGGGTCCAGGGGAGGGGCGAGGCGGGAAGGCAGGGTCTCATGGTCCTATTTGGGGGGGGGGTCCCTAGGGTTTTTGCATGTTTTTCGGATTCTCCCTCCAGACGGCCGAAGAGCGTTCCAAGAGAGCCCCAGACCGCCCAAGACGGCCCCAGAGGCCCCCAAGAGGCCCCCAAAAGGCGCCCAAGGGGCGTCCCAAGAGGGCCCCAGGAGGCCAACATCATCGATTTTTCCGAGGCAAACGTATATTTTTAGCATTTACGGCTTTT